TCACTTTCCCAGGGATGGAGGTGAGGCTGACCGGTCTATAGTTACCCGGGTCCTCCTTCTTGCCCTTTTTGAAGACTGGAGTGACATTTGCTTTCCTCCAGTCCTCAGGCACCTCTCCCGTTTCCCAAGACTTGGTAAAGATGATGGAGAGTGGTCTAGCAATGACTTCTGCCAGTTCCCTCAGCACCCGCGGGTGCATCCCATCTGGACCCATGGATTTATGGATGTCCAGATTGCTCAACTGTTCTCTAACCCATTCCTCATCGACTAAGGCAAACCGCTCCGTCGACCTGACTTCATCTAAGGTCTCAGGGGTACAGGGCTCTTCAGGACTGCCCGCAGCAGAGTAGACAGAGACAAAGAAGGCATTCAGTAACTCTGCCATCTCTTTATCTTCTGTCACCAGGGCACCCATCTTGTTCATCAGTGGGCCTACATTGCCTCTGGTGTTAGTTTTGTCTGCCATGTATTTGAAAAAGCTCTTTTTGCTGTCCTTGACCCTTCTTGCCAGGTTTAATTCTAAGGATGCCTTAGTCCTCCTAGCTGCCTTCCTACATCCTCTAGCAGCAGCCTTATATTCCTCCCAAGTGGCCAGCCCCTCCTTCCATGACCTGTAAACTCTCCTCTTCCACTTGAGCATACCCAGCAGTTCCCTATTTAGCCACGCAGGTCTCTTGGCCCTCTTCCTTGACTTTCTACGTGTCGGGATGCTCCGATCTTGAGCACGGAAAAAGCAGTCCTTGAATGTCAACCAACTATCTTGGGCCCCTTTACCTTCAAGCAGCCCTGCCCATGGGATTTCCCCTAGCAATTGCTTGAAAAGGCCAAAGTTTGCCCTGCTAAAGTCCAGGGTTGCAATTCTACTTGGTATTCTACTAGTCCTGCCACACAAGATCCTGAACTCCACCATCTCGTGGTCGCTGCAACCAAGGCAGCCCTCAACCCTTACTGCTTCGACCAGATCCTCCTTGTTAGTGAGGATGAGATCCAGCAGCGCTCCTCTCCTGGTCGGCTCATCCACCATTTGCAGGAGGAAGTTATCATCCATACACTGGAGGAACCTCCTGGACTGCGGCTGGGTTGCCGAGTGGTCCTTCCAGCAAACATCAGGGAAGTTAAAATCCCCCACGACGACCACGGCCTGTGACTTTGAGGCCGCTCTCAGCTGCCTGTAGAAGGCCTCGTCAACTTCCTCACCCTGATCCGGTGGTCTGTAACAGACACCTACAACAGTATCCCCCCTGCCAGCCTGCCCCTTAATTCTCACCCACAGACTCTCAACTCGCTCATCATCTGTCCCTGGACAGAACTCGGTGCATTGTAGTTCCTCCCGCACATAAAGAGCAACCCCACCACCCCGCCTGGCTGGCCTGTCTTTCCTGAAAAGGACATAGCCTTCCATGACTATATTCCAGTCATGTGAGCTGTCCCACCACGTCTCTGTAATTGCCACCAGATCATAATCTCCTGACTTAACACAGGTTTCCAACTCCTCCTGCTTATTTCCCATGCTGCGCGCATTGGTGTACAGGCATTTCAGGGAGTGAGCTGAGCACACCGATTTCACCCTAGGATTGTAGGAGGCCTCCCAGTCTTCATTAATTCTGGAGCGCTGCCCCACTGGGGCAAGCCCAGCTACAAGCCCATCCCCCTTCGAATCTAGTTTAAAGCTCTCCAAATGAGCCCTGCTAATTCGTGCCCCAGCATCCTTTTCCCTCTGTGAGACAAACCTTTCTCACTTGTCATTGTCCAGACTGGTGCCCTATAAAACCAGCCGTTATCAAAGAATCCAAAGCCCTGCCTGTAGCACCAGTCTCGAAGCCAATTGTTCATGAACTGAATCTTCCCATTCCTTCCCACATCAGTGGAAGATGGAAGGAGAGAGGAGAAGATCACTTGAGCCCCAGACTCTTTCACCATCCGCCCCAAGGCCCTGTAGTCTTTCTTCATCCCCCTCAGACTGCAGGAAGCAGCTTCCTCCCCACCTGTCTGGAAGACCAGCAGCGGGTAGTAGTCTGTCGGGTGCACCAGGTTGGGGAGCGCCCTGGTGATATCCCTGATCCGGGCTCCAGGCAGACTACACACTTCCCTATGATGAGGGTCAACTCTGCATATCGGGCCCTCTGTTCCTCTCAGAAGGGAATCCCCAACTACAATGACCCTTCTTTCTTTCTTAACAGAGGCAGTCTTGAGGTGCAAAGTCGACTCCCTTTTCCTATGTGGCCTTGTGGGCTGGCCTTGCCCCACATTCTCACCTACCTCTCCTTCAAGATCCAGGGCCTCGAACCTATTATGGAGGGACACCTGGGGAAGCAGGGCAGGAAGGGGGGAGGGTTTCCCACGACCTCGAACTGGAACTCGCTTCCAACCCTCGTCGTCTTTTTGGTCCCCTACCTCTGCGCAACAGCTACAGGGCAGGGGCTGCCTCGGGCCATCCCCCTCTGTGTGAGAAGGCAGGGGGTCCTTCCCCTTTTGGGGGGTATCTCCCTGGAACCGTTTCGACTGGCCCGCCAGGGAGTTACTCCACCAGTCGATCTCCCTTTCACACTCCCTGATGGTCCTCAGTGTCTCAACCTCCTCCTTAAGTCTTGCCACCAGGCTAAGCAGATCTTCTACCTGCTCACACCTCCCGCAGGTGGAATGCTGTCCTCCCTCCCCCGGCAGCAGCAGGCTCTGGCACTCCCTGCACCCAGAGACCTGAACAGCCACGGTCTGGGACGGGGTCTCTGTCTGAGTTGCTGTAGTCACATTACTGCAAGCTCTCTTTCTGGAGGCAACCATATTGGTGCGCAGTCTGGGACACCAGCAACACGACCTGCTTGTTCCTCCCTGTGCCCGGCTCTCAAAGGCTTTTTCAAGGCAAGCAGCAGGGGAGTGGTCGCCGTCACCGTGGGAACGCCCCCCGCCACGTCAGCCTCTCTCTCGCAAGGGCTGCTGGGGCTTCGGGGATCGGGAGATGTCGGGAATCGCGATGTCTCTGCGCTATCCCCTCTGATTTTCCTAATCTCCGTTGACCCTCGCGTCGCTGAAGCGTGCCGGCTGTGGCTCTAGCTAGGCTAGCTCCGATCAGCTGACTGAATGCTAGTAGCGAGTTTAGGCCGCTTTTAAATCTCCCGCCGTCACCGTGGAAACGCCCCCCGCCACGTCAGCCTCTCTCTCGCAAGGGCTGCTGGGGCTTCGGGGATCGGGAGATGTCGGGAATCGCGATGTCTCTGCTCTATCCCCTCTGATTTTCCTAATCTCCGTTGACCCTCGCGTCGCTGAAGCGTGCCGGCTGTGGCTCTAGCTAGGCTAGCTCCGATCAGCTGACTGAATTTCTCTTTTCTTCCCTGTTGTTTCCCCCCAGCACTTATTGATGCTTGACTGGCTGTATTGTGTGCCTAGGAGCTGCAGTTTTCATCCAGCTGCTCAGACTCCAAGGTGCTATTCTGGAACGATATCTAGAACATCCTAATCCCAGCTTGGTGTAAGTGCAAGCTGTAGAGGCTCTTCTCCTCTCCGGGTCTTTGTTTACTTGCAGTGAATGTCCCCTGTCACCTGGTTGGTCAGTATTTCAAGGCTGTGCCACAGTTTGTAGTCAGGTTTTTTGTCTTTAACCCTTAAATACTGGACTGTGGTGATCATGTCTCCCCCGAGCCTTCTGTTCTCTAGGCAGAGCAAGCCCAGCTCTCAGCCTTTCCTCATACAGCAGGCAGCAGGCCCAGCCTTTGATCAAGACCCAGAGAAGGGCAGACAAACAGTGATGTGTCCCTGTATCCTTTCACAGGCCTGAGCCGTCTGTGGCTTCAGAAGCTCCTGAACTAGGCCCATAATGTCTCAAGATCTATCTTCTTGCCTTCTCAAGCTGGGCACATTGTAGCAGCCGTAGCAGCTTGCAGCAAGCAAGGAGTTCCCCAGCTTATTTAGGTGATTTATGAGTTGCAGCCTCCTTTAGTTTGTTTTGAAAGTGCCTTTTCCTGCTGGCACGAGTTCTTAATTCAGACTAGATGGTGCAGGATAGATGCCAAACCACCCCACAGGCCACTTGTGTTTTTATAGTCCTTTGTGATACCCACTATCAGCTGTACCTTTTCCCAGCAGAATGGGCAGTTGACTCATCTCCTATACAGAAGCTGCTCTGTGCCTCTGATGGTTCCTGTCATGCCTCTGTCTTCCTCAGCTCTGCCAGAGTGTCTCTGACATGGGGGATCTGTCCTCCCCCTTGCACGCAGTCAGAATGCGGGGTTTGAGAAGCAAGGCAGAATTACATTCTCTTTTCCTCTCTATTGTTTTCCCCCCAGCACTTATTGATGCTTGACTGGCTGTATTGTGTGCCTAGGAGCTGCAGTTTTCATCCAGCTGCTCAGACTCCAAGGTGCTATTCTGGAACGATATCTAGAACATCCTAATCCCAGCTTGGTGTAAGTGCAAGCTGTAGAGGCTCTTCTCCTCTCCGGGTCTTTGTTTACTTGCAGTGAATGTCCCCTGTCACCTGGTTGTTCAGTATTTCAAGGCTGTGCCACAGTTTGTAGTCAGGTTTTTTGTCTTTAACCCTGAGGAACACAAAAACATTAGCAAATGTTTCCACCTCCTTTTCCCTTCTTTACTGCCCTGTGAGGTTCGTTCATGCCAGAGTAGCTTAGCTTCTTTACCAGTTTTAGCGAAGGATGAATGTCTTTTGGGAATGCCTCTGGACCCCACATGTCCCTTTTGATAAAGCTGGGAACATCTCTGAAGAACTCTGAGTGGTTTGTGAAGTGAGATATATCTTTCCAAAGGCTGTGCCAGGTCTTCCCCAGCCTGTCCTCTTGTCATCTGTCCATTAATTCAAGCAGTAAACTTTTGCCATTAGATTCAGGTTCTGGTGAAGCATGCAGGGCAATTTGCGGCATTTGCTCCTGTGAACACTCTGAAAAATCCACTGTGTAGTTTGAAGGGAAATACCATGTCCTGAATGCAGGATATAGCAGAATGTTTTATACTTAAAGTCAATCTACGTGCTGAATTTTTAGCATTTGGCCCCTTGCAATTTGCCCTGTCCAAAGCTTCCATTCCTGCCTGTGACTTGTCTGAATTCTCATTTTATTGCAGCTGATGGTGGGATTGTGAGCACAAATGAAGACAATGCCCATCAAGACATCCCCCGGCCAGTGGAGCCCAAGGGTTTCTGCTCAGGACTCTCCGAGGAGAACAGTTCCCAGGGTCCTGCACAGGACCCTGTTCTGCCACGCAGGTCCGAAAGGATTCAGAGTTCTCTGGGGAGGAGGCCAAGCCGAGCAGCACTGTGTGGAAAAAGCTCCAGGAGGCTGCCGGATGTTGTTCAGCAGAGAAACCCTTCCATGGGGAAACTGACGATACATGGGGAGTGTGGGAAGAGTTTCCAGATGAGCTCCAACCTCATCCAGCATCAGGGAATCCCCACTGGAGAAAAACCCTTCTCCTGCACCGAATGTGGGGAGAGTTTCAAGTGCCGGTCACAACTCGTCCAGCACCAGATGATCCACACAGGGGAGCGGCCCTACGAGTGCCCCGAGTGCGGGAAGAGGTTCCGAGAAAGCTCGAACCTGATCCGGCACCAGGTAACCCACACCGGGGAGAAGCCTTACAAATGTGGCGAGTGTGGGAAGAGCTTCTCTGACAACTCGCAGTTAATCCAGCACCAGTGGGTGCACACTGGGGAGAAACCCTACGAGTGTAGGACCTGCGGGAAGAGCTTCAGCGTGAGCTCGAAGCTGATCCAGCACCAGGTAACCCACACTGGGGAAAACCCCTACAAGTGTGCTGAGTGCGGGAAGAGCTTCTTTAGGAACTCTCAGCTCGTCCTGCACCAGCGGGTGCACACTGGGGAGAAACCCTACGAGTGCGTAACCTGCGGGAAGAGTTTCAGCGTGAACTCAGGCCTGACACAACACCAGTGGGTCCACACCAGGGAGAAGCCCTACAAGTGTGCCGAGTGTGGGAAGAGCTTCTCCCAGACCGCGAAGCTCATTCAGCACCAGCGGGTGCACACGGGGGAGAAACCCTACGAGTGCAGCACCTGCGGGAAGAGCTTCAGCTTGTCCGTAACCCTGACACGACACCAGCGGGTCCACACTGGGGAGAAACCATACGTATGCAGGACCTGCGGGAAGAGCTTCAGCGAGAGGTCAGCCCTGACACGACACCAGCTGGTCCACACTGGGGACAAGCCCTATGAGTGCTCAGAGTGCGGCAAGAGCTTCAGCGTGAGCTCAAAGCTGATCCGGCACCAGGTAACCCACACTGGGGAGAAGCCCTACAAGTGTGCCGAGTGCCCGAAGAGGTTCTCCGAGAACTCACAGCTTGTCCGGCACCAGCGGGTGCACACTGGGGAGAAGCCTTACAAGTGTGCTGAGTGCGGGAAAAGCTTCTCTGACAACATGCAGCTCATCCGGCACCAGCGGGTCCACACTGGGGAGAGGCCCTACGCCTGTGCCCACTGTGGGGTCAGCTTTCGACAGAGTGGCCACCTCACCGAGCACCTGCGCATCCACACTGGGAGGCGTCCCTACGTCTGTGCTGAGTGTGGAAAGGGCTTCAGAGCGAGCTCATCGCTCTTCCGGCACCAGCAGACCCACAGGGTTGGGGAGCCCTAGGTGGGGGGAGTTTGGGGAGCAGTGAGGTCTGATACCCTGGGAGCAAAGCCCGGTGTCTCCCACTCCCATTGACCACTGTGCTTGTGGAGGGTGAAAGCAGTTTCTTCCTAGGAGAATGAGCCCACAGAGGTGAAGAAGAGGAGAGGTGGTGGAGGGAGCTGATTGGAGGTTTGGGGCAGGTGCCAGAAGGAAAGTGCGTGACTCTTTTCAGTAGTGGGCAGCCCCAGGATGAGGAGCAGTGGCCATGAACTGAAACAGAAGAAGTTTCACCTGGACATGAGAAAGAACTTGTTCTGTTGCAGTGTCAGAGCACTGAAGAGGCTGCGTAGGGGGATGTGGAGGCTCCCTCTCTGGGCACATCCAAGCCCTGCCTGGACACGTTCAGGTGCCTCTGCCCTGGCAGGGCTGGGACCGGGTGACCCCAGGGTCAGCTCCCATGGCTGGTGCCGCTCGCAATGACCCCACACAATAAACGTCCGTTGAACGCTGCCACGTTGCCTTCCATGGACTGCGCCTGCGCGGGGGCTCGTGCCGTGTAAAAATTACTTTGTGAGGCCCCGTTTCCAGCCCCCAAAACCTCCCCGTGGGAGGAGGAGAAGGTGTGCAGCTCTTCTGAGGTGAGTGCCAGGTTACCTTTGTGAAGGCTCTTCAAGCTGCTAGGCCTGGGGTTCTGGGGTTTGTCTCCACTGCAGTGATGCTTGGGTGGGTGCAACCATGTTCTGCTGCTGCTCGTTAAAGCAAGGATGCAAGGTCTGCATGTGGGGAAATAGCCTGAAGTTGTAAGCTGGTTGAACAGCAAACTTGAACTCTGTACCACCTGGATGTTTGCAAATTACTGAGCTTCTCCGAAGAGTGTCAAAAGCAAAGCCAGGGCTTCAGTCCTGCTTCCCTGCCACAGCAGTGTCTACTTCGTTCAAAAGGCACTGGATTGTGGGGATTAAGTGTCTTCCTACCCTGAGAAGAATGGCTGTGCATCTTGAGCGTGAAACTTGCTGTGGAAATGTGTCTGGGGCAAACTAACTGCTGGCTAGATGAAACAGGGATGTTTTCTCTGAGGGTTTGAACACTGTTATTGGGAAAGAAATGTTTGGAGTGCTGAGGTGTTTTGTATTAAGCCTTGTCTCCAATTTGTAGCCCCACTATCCTGCCTCTTGTAGTTGTTGGATTCCTCCCAGGAGGCTTCTGGTAGGGCACCGGCAAGGTATGTGTTTACCCTGAACATTCAGCCAGGTCTTGATGAGCAGAGCTCATGAAGCAAAAGAAATGACATTCCAGCCTCTGCAGTGGAAGAGGGCAGCTGCTCGAGCCGCCTGCTTGTTGATGATGAAAACTCCAGAAACTCGCCAACACAGTTTTCAAGCTGACAAGCAGGTATTCTTTATTGCGGCGCCGGGAGACACGGGGGATAGCTCCTCCAAGCATCTCTCTGCTGAGCATCAACCAGGCTGTGATTATATTGTCCTTAAACATACATGTTCCTTAGATTACATACATTACATCATACTTTTAGAGAATGCCTCCTGTGTGCCTACAAAAATGTGGTAGTGGGGCTTCGGACCCCTGGTGGTTATTTCTTCATCACATTGTTTTAAGGTCGTTGTCTTATCAGTCGTATCTGCATACCTGCAAAACCCCCAAGGCTGAGAAACCCCACCCTATTTCTCATAGGAATATAGCCAAAAGTGTTTAGTTATGTGCGGGACCCCCAGAGCTGGAGCTCTCATGAGCTCTGTCTTTAAACTTTTAAATGTTTCTTCAGCTTGATCTGTCCATTTTAGAAAGGTTGGATTTTCTTTTAGCAGCTCGTATAAGGGTCTTACCAGAACACCATAATCATGGATCCAGGGTTGGCACCATCCCGGCATTCTCAGAAATGTCCGGATATCTTTAACTGTGGACGGTCACGGTGTTTGAGAGATTGCTTCCTTCCGAGCTGCTCCAAGTTCTGGTTGTCCTCCTGTTACTTTGCATCCTAAATAAGATACTCGAGTTTGAATTAGTTGAGCCTTCCATTTAGATACCCGGTATCCATTTAGCCCCAGAAAGTTTAACAGTTCTACAGTCCATTGAACACATTTTCTCTCAGTTTTGGTAGCAATTAACAGGTCGTCCACGTACTGTAGTAAAGTTCCTGTCTGAGTGGATGCTTCCCAGGATTCTAATTCTCGTGCCAATTGATTTCTGAAAATGGTTGGACTGTTTTTAAATCCCTGAGGTAACGCCGTCCAAGTGAGCTGTGTCCTTCTTCCTTTTTCAGGGTTTTCCCATTCAAAAGCAAATAAATTCTGACTTTCTTTGGCCAGGGGCAGACAGGAAAATGCATCCTTTAAGTCCAGAACGGTAAACCACTCCTGATTAGTATTAGTTTAGTCAATAAGGTATATAGATTAGCTACTACTGGATGAATATCCTCCACAATTTTGTTGATTGCTCTGAGATCTTGAACTAATCTCTAACTTTTCCCATCGGATTTCTTTACTGGCAAGATAGGAGTATTATATTCTAATTCACATTCAATTAATAATCCATATTTTTTTTTAATTATTTCTTTGATTCCCTTTCGATCCTCCAATTTTAAGCGATACTGTTTTATTCTAATTGGGCAGCCCCCCTTTTATTTCCACTTCAACAGGCAAAGCATTTTTCACCTTACCTGGAACTTCAGATGCCCATACTCCCAGATACACCTGTTTAAGGATTTCTTCTATTTCAGGGAGGTCCTCCTGTTTGCTTTTCTGCTGAATTAAAGATAAACTCAAAACTTCAATTAATTGATCGGTTTGGACTCTTAATTCCATTTTGCCTTCTTTAAATGTTGCTTCTTGCCCTAATAAAAGATTTTTTGAGAATTTGGCATGCATAAAAATTTATGCATTCCGATTTGTTTTCCCAGTTTATACTCTACAGGTTTCAGAAAGAATGTGGGTTTGGGGTTTTTTGTTGTTTTTTTTTTGTTGTTGTTTTTTCATTGTTTTTTTGTTGTTTTGTTTTTTTGGTGACTAGTAGCTACCACATCTGTAACAAATTCTTTTCCTCTGATTTAACGTTGAATAAGTTGCTCCTGTAACCACTTAGAAATTCCACTTTATTTCCTCTAGTGCCTAGTTTTAATTTAATGAGTGGATCTGCTAGGGTAGATTCCCCAGGTCCTTGTCAGTCTAGTTCCAATTCAGTCACCGGAGCCACACCATGGAGCTTCCCCCAGGGCAGTCTCACTTCCAATGTCCAAACTCCTTACAGTATGCACACTGATTCCATCCCACAGGAAAATTCAATCTCTCACCTCTGCCTGACATTCCTCCTCTACCTCTGCCTCGTCCTCTCGCATTAGTTCCTCCACCAATTTCTACTTGTCCCAGAGCAGTCACTGTAAGCGTGCCCATAGCACAACTCAGCTCGCTCTTCTCTATCTGTTCCCGATTCCTGTACGCTCTCCACGCTTCTTTAACATTCTCAAGTCCTTCTGCTCTGTTGCCAGTGACAGCAACCTCTTCCTCCTTATCAGTAACAGATGGAGCAGTTGCCGAGAGTGCTCCTCTCGGAGGTACCTGTGATACATAATCCCCCGACCTGTCTTCCCGATTACTCTGTCTAGGTGTTTGTTTTTTGTTTTTTTTTTTAACTTTAAACATAATTTCCCCAATATCACAGGCTAAACAACATCTCTCCAGCTTAGCTTTCTGTTTTTCCCTGTCCTTTCCTAAAGCCAAAATTAGGGATCTGGCAGAGCTATATTAATTTCACATTCCGTCTGCCACTCTGGGTGGTTTCTTAAAGTGAAAAACATATCTGCATGCATCACTGCATCCCATTTTCCTTGTTGCCTTAAAAGTAACATTAATTGCAAGAATGTATTATAATTCCGAGTTCCAGTTTTAGGCCATTTCTCCTGATCCTCCAGAGTATACAATGGCCACCATTGGTTACAATATTTCACCAACGTTTTTCTTATTTACTGAGCCCCCAGGAAACCCTCCCAGTTCTTTCCAATGTGCCAAAATGCACCCTAAAGGACTCCTTTTCAAGATGTCTTCACTCTGCCAATTTCCCATTGTCAGTCTTGCATTCCCACACACACACGGGATCCCACAGGCACACTCCACACAGTTACAACACTTGAGACAGAGACTAAAATTCTGTCGAACAGCAACCATTAACAGTTATAACGGTCTGTCACCAACACCAAAATCACAAGACCAAAATCATCCAACCCAATCACCATTTTAGTCTTTATGCAAGATGCCCCCTGCACCTTACAGACTATACAAAAGAAAAGAATACTTTTTATGAGGATGGTTCTTGTTTGCTCCCACAGTGATCCGAATGAGTCAAGGGGTCCCTCCAGGTAAAACTCCTGAGGGCCCTAGGGAGACCTGTCCTCATTGGGTCCTGCAGCCGAGCAGAGAGGATCCCATCTGGGGTGCCAGATTGTTTCAGAGAAAACTCCAGGAACTCGCCAACAAAGTTTTAAGTTGACAAGCAGGTATTCTTTATTGCGGTACCGGGAGACATGGGAGATAGCTCCTCCAAGTGTGTCTCTCCCAGGCATCAACCAGGCTGTGATTATATTTTCCTTAAACATACATATTCCTTAGATTACATGCGTTACATCATACTTTTAGAGAATGCCTCCTGTATGCCTACAAAAATGTTGTAGTGGGCTTTTGGACCCCTGGTGGTTATTTCTTCATCACTTTGTTTTAGGATCCTTGTCATATCAGTCGTATCAGTAACCACCAGGCGGTTCTGGCAAAGCTTATCTTAGTAATTTCCTTTTCTCTATAGTTGCTAACAAAGCCTAACATCCTCGAGGTTCCTTGTTTACAACCCTATTCTTCAATCAACCCCATTCTTCAGTGAGTAAGACACGTCCTCTTCCAGGGCAGCAAACCCGGGAGAAATGAGGGCCCTGAGGGGTGACCGTGTTGTGGGCTATCAGCTACCAGTTTCTGAATAAAAGGGATGTGTAATGGTAAGAGATGCAGTGATTCTTACTTCCCTTCCTCTGAGTTCTCATGTGATAGCCTAGTACTGAAAAGGACAGGGGTTTGATTTGTGCTGACTTGTCTCCTGAATTCACGGCTCATCATGTCTGTGCTGGATGGTACTGGGAAAAATCTCAGCTTCCATGTGGTCCTGTGTATGTAGTGTCCTCAGTTGAGCTGAAGGGACTGGTGCTTGTCTTTTTGTGCAAGAGCCAACTTTGTTATGTGAAAAGGCCAAGGTTGCCTTAAGTGGCATTCTAGTAAATGCTGTTACCCTCAGCGTACCGTGTATTTCTCTCTCAAGTACACAGTTCACCCCTGAAAAAACTTCAGTCCTACTGTCGTGGTTTAAACCCAGTCAGGTAACTTGTTCACTCACTCCCAGTGAGTGGTGCCAAGCTGACAACAATCGAGGTCCGTGTCCCCCCCCCACCGGGGTTCTCCCCCACTCCCGGAGGAACGGGGAGGAGGATCGAAAGAGTGC